AAGCCAACTTGTGTCTTTTAATGATGCCATAAAGAAATTGTATTGATTTGAGATTTGTGCAGAATTTAAAGGTGGCATGGGTGGAAATAAGGAAGGATGAGGCTTATTAAAATGGTGGCTTGGACAAGGCTGAAAATAGAGAGTTGAAGAAATGGATACTGGTTTGGAGAAAGGGATGAGGAAGTTGAAGGAAACAGTACACTAATGATTTCATGTTGTAAAATAGGAAATTAGGAGAGATGACATATGGTGAACTAAATAAAAAACAAGATTTTTTTTTAATGGTTAGAGTTATGTTATTTATTTATTTATTTATTTATTTATTTATTCGTTTATCGAGATGGGGTTTCTCTGTGTAGCTTTGTAGACCAGGCTGGCCTCAAACTCACAGATCCACCTGCCTCTGCCCCCCAAGTGCTGGAACTAAAGGCCTGCACCACCACCGCCTGGCTAAAACCCAAGTTTATACACATGATTTAAAATAAAAACATAACAATTAGAAGAAATAAAAATAAATAATATATTGGCAAGGGAAAAGGTCAGATTAGAGGAAGGAGTGCTGCAAGACAGCTCAAACATCAGATCCCACAGTATTATTTAATAGATGGTGTTAAAAAAGAAATGCAGATTGCCAGGCTCTGTCTCATGCCTTTAATTGCAACACTCGGGAGGCAGAGGAAGGTGGATCTCTGAGTTCGAGGCCAGCCTGGCCTACAGAGTGAGTACATGTACAGGGCAACACAGAGAAATCCTGTCTCAAACAAACAAACAAAAACAACAACAATAGAAGAAATACAGATTATACTGGCTGCTTTTTTGTGTTTCAACTTGACACAAGCTAGAGTCATCAGAGAGGAAGGAGCCTCAGTTGAGGAAATGCCTCCATGAAATCTAGCTGTAAGGCATTCTCTTGATTAATGACCAATGGAAGAAGGCCCAGCTCATGGTGGGTGGGGCCATCCCTGGGCTGCTGGTCTTGCATTCTCTAAGAAAGCAGGCTGAGCAAGCCATGATGAGTAACCCTGTAAGCAGCACTCCTTTATGGCCTCTGCATCAACTCCTGCCTCCGGGATCCCGACCTGTTTGAGTTTCTGTCCTGACTTCCTTCAATAATGAATAACAAAACGGAAGTGTAAGCCAGATAAACCCTTTCTTTCCCAACTTGCTTTTTGGTCATGGTGTTTCGTCCCAGCTGTAGAAACCCTGACTGAGACACAGCTGAAGAATTTATTCAGAGGTAAGTTTTGCACAGCGTAGTTCCTGTATTTATATTGTAAATATGGAGGGTTTTAGATTGCGCGATTAAATTGCTGCCGGATCACAAACGAGGAAAGACTGCAGAGTAGTAGCCGGGTGAGTCAGGAAGAGGGGAAGGTGGTCAGTTGTACATGTCAACCCGATTGGAACTCAAAGTGCTCAGGGTTTTGGCTAAATACTATTCTAGGTGTGACTGTGAAAGGTTTGGATGGAATTAATATTTGAAGTTGATTGGAATAAAATGGGCTGAGTGAAACTAGTGGCCATTCTCAGTGAGGTAAGCCATGCCCAGTCTGTTAGAGGTCTAAGAGAACAAAAGTTGGAAGAAAGGAGAATTCGTTTTCCTCTGTTTGTTCTCAAGCTGTGACACTGGTCTACCGAAGTTGGAATGGGATTAACATTTTCTTATATGTCTTCAGTTTTGTTTTATGTGTATGGGTGTTTAACCTGTGGATATGTTTGTGTGACATGTGTACGCATGGTGCCTTTGGGGACAGAAAAGGGGGTTGGACCCCCGAAACTGGAATCACAGATAATTGTAAGATACCATATGGGTGCTGGGAATGGAACTGGGCTTGTCTGAAAGAGTGACAAGTGCTCTTATCCACTGAGCCATCTCTCCAGCCCCCAGAATGGAATTTATACCATTGCTTCTCCTGGTTTTGAGACCTGGGAGTTAGACTGGAACTGTACTTTGGATCTCTTGGGTCCCCAGTTTGCAGATGCTGTATATCTGAACTTATCAGAGTCCATAATTGTATGAGGGAATTGCCTACAAAGTTATATGTATATGCATACATATATAATTTCTAGGGTACCTTGAAAAGCCTTTGCTAATACAGATGGGGGTTCAATTTTAAAAATGTGTGATACATCCTGGTGGAGATGTATAGTACATTCAAATGGACCTCTTTCCACCTCCTACTTTGGACT